GGCGCACAGCCTGCGAGCACAGCCTGCGTGCAGGCGCTTGGCAGCCCCGGTCGGGTCTGGTGGTTGAAAGGTGGTGATGCGAGAGGCTGAGCAGGCGGGGTGATCTGCTGTCACCCCGTTTGTCTGTTGGACACGGGGGGTGTTAGGGCATGCACCACCTGCGAGAGGTCAGCTCTCCCTGTAGCATGGCCGCTGGTGCTCTCCCTGTCAGGCACCATGCAGCAGCCAGCGGCAGCTTTGATAGCTGTGGAGAGAGTGAGCTGTGCTGTGACCCGTCCCTGCAGCCCCAGCCCTCCTGCTCTGCCCTCAGCCCCCAGCCCAGTGGCCAGTGCTGGGCACTAGCATTCTGTAGCATCAGGGCGGTGGCAGGTCTTGGAGATCCTGGTGCTGCAGCATCTCCTCTGCATGGGGAGGGTGTGGATGCTCTTGGATATGGTCCCAGAACTCAGGGAGCACGATGGGAGGAGCGAGATGGATCTCTGTTTTAAAATGCAGCCAGTTGTAATTGTAATGCTTTTCTTTCTGCCTGTACATCTGCATTAACAGGGATTAATTCTCCTTACAAGGAAAATTAATTCCTTTTTCTTAGTTGCATCTCTGACTGACAAGCTGCCACTCAGAAGGCTGCGAGCTGGGAGGAGTGTGGAGGGTCATCTGGCAGCGAGCGTTTCCTGCTGCCGCTGTCACTATTCTCAGAGTTCACGTCACCACAGGTTCCCCTTCTGCGGGATCACATCATTTCCCTTTTTAGAGATGTTTTCTCCGAGGAAAGCGTTCCCCAAAGTGCGGTCAGGTTGCAGGAGAGGCAGCCGCATCGAGCTGAGAGCTGGCGCATGGGTGACTGGAATCACCAAGGGATGTTTTTCCTTTGAGGACTCTATTTCATGATGGATACCCGCCAGAGGTGGATTAAAACCAAAATGCAATTAGATAAATTCATAAATAAATCACACTAGATTCAGAAATGAGTGCCGAGAGGAGGATGCTGATGGCAGGGAGCCCTTTGGCTCGCAGTGCCAAGATTGGCTGCTGTGTTTGTGCTTCCACCCATGTAGAGGCCATGGCGCTGGTCAGTGGTGTTGAGGACATGCGGGCTCAAAAGCTTTCTGTTCGTAAGCAGGAGCAGGACGTACCCGAAGTCCCCGAGCACCAGCTCTGCCTATGGCCGGGGAAGCGTGTACGTCCGTGGGAGCCTGAGAGGGTCTGTGCAGGGGCACCTCTTCATGTGGTGCCTCTGGGGCAGAGCTTGTGCTGGCCAACAGACTGTGACCGAAGTGCATGGGGAGCTAATGACATTTGGGACTTCAACGTGCAGGATTTGGTGCTCCGGACGCTTGCATCTTCTTTATATAGCTATTTAGAGAAGTGGTACACTGCTGAGCCAAACTCCTCTGCACGAGAGGGAGTTACTCTCACAAAATACTCAGGGGCACAATTTGCAGTAAAACCCATTTTTATCAATTAGGAAAAGCCAGCAAAACCACCAGAAATCAGTAAAATTTTGCAAAGAGGCTGAGTAGTTTTGCTTTCAACTGCTATGGAAAGGAAGATGATGGCCAAGTTGGAAACCCCTGAAAATAAGTGCTGAGACTTAGAGGAGTGCCTCTTTTGTCACCTCCCCTGGTGCAATGGCACTGTGCCCCGCACAGATTCCTCCGGGAGCACACTTCGTTTGCCGCAGGGAACACTGGCGGTTCAGGAGCGGGCTGGGGCCCTACGGGCTGGCTGAGCTCCCACGGGGCAGCACCCCGCGCCGAGGAGAGCCCTGGGCAGCGCCGCGGGGGCAGCACCGGCCCTCCCGTGGGCTCAGCCAACAGCCAGAACGCAGTCGAGCAGGGCACTTACTTCTCAGCCATATTCTCTAGTTGACTAACGTCCCAGCTCGTCAGCACCCAGCAGCCTTCTCTCTGTAATCGATTTTATCTCTGTGGGCTCTGCTCTTGGGAGATGTCCTTGGCCTTGGAGGAGGGCTGTCCCAGCCCCGCCTTCCTAACAGGGCCCTTCCCTTGCCTCTGCTCTGGCCATTGCACCATGTGAGGAAAGCTGTAGGAAAAGCCTGAATGCAGGAATG